GGTCTGCGCCAGCCTTTCCTGCCGCAGCGGGCGTCCCCCCCCCCCCGCCCCGAGGAGCAGGAAGCGGATGTTTTCAGGGCGCACTCGCTCTGTGTGGACAGCAAACATGTGGCCCAGAAGCCCCTGCTGGGCACCTTCCCCACTCGGGGCCCCTCGTGAAGCCCGAGGCTCAGGGATGCAGGGCCGCGGGGATGCGTGTGCGCTCAGGTGCACGAGAAAATGGGGGGTAGGAGGGGTGTGTGTGTGTGTGTGTGCATGTGAATGTGCGTGTATTGTTACGGGTGTGTTTGTGTGGGGTGTGCGTGTGCTCCTAGGAGCGGGATGTGTGTATACCTGCCTCTGTATGTGTTCACATGTCCACATTTGGTGGACAGCGTGCATGTGTGGCTGCCTGGCTCACGGTCACACAGCTGTCTGTGAATTCAGACCAGCTTCCAGGACTCTGGGCCCCTTCCCAGGGCGCTGGCTGGTCTCCTTCCCGGACAGGCTGGGGTCAGCCTGAGGACGGAGATGGAACTGGGGTCCCTCAGAGGGAAACCGGGCCCAGTGAGAGGGCTGGAGGAGGAGGCGCTGGGTGTCCAGCTTGTGCGGGGCCCTGCCTGCTCCTCACTGGACCCTCTGCCCGGGCCCTGAGGTGTCCTGAGCTCCCTGCCCCCCATCACTTGCTGCGTGGGTCTTTCATGACCACTGAGACCTCCCCGATGGCTCCTGCACCCCTGGGCAGGTTGCTGGGAACACGGGGCCTGGCACTGAGCCCAGGGCCCGTCCAGCTGGGTGTCCTCACGGCAGCCAGGGAGGCAGAGACCAAGTAACACGAGCGCCTGAGACGCGGGTGTGCAGAGCCAGCCAGGGCGAGCCGCAGCGAGACCGTGCTTGGGTCAGTCCGGGCCTTTGCTTAACCTAGACTTACGTCTAAGAGGCTGGTTCCCGAGGCCCCGGGAGCGTGCGCCCCTGGGTGGAGGTGGCTGCAGCTGAGCCCTAAGGCAGCCTGTTCCCACGGGCGGCGCCCATGGGGAGGTCCAGGGCCGCGCGAGGCCGACGGGGCCGGGCCCTCTGGCTTTGCAATTCTTACCTTTTAGGGCGCGGTCAGCGTGGTCTCAAACCCACGTCTGTCCTGCCTCCTCCGCTTTGGCCAGCCCCGCCCGGGCCTCTCTTCAACAAAAAGCTTGATTTTGGCTCCGGGTGACGTTCCGCCCTGCGGTGGTGAGGAAGGGACACCGTCCTCCTGCAGGACTGCGGGGACGGGCACCTCCTTCAGGACGCCAGGAGCCGCACCCCTCCATGGTGTGGGTCCCAGTGTCATCCCTGCGAAGCAGCTGGGCCCCCCCAAGGACAGCCTTTGTGTTAAATGTGGACGAAGGTTGGGGAGGAGTCTCAGAAGTAGCTCCCTTAGCTCCGGGGTTCGACCGTTGCTCATTCTGGACGGAGGCCTTTAGGCCCTGAGGTCTCGGGAAGATCTCTCCAGGGCATGTTTTCACAAGGGGTTTTGACTCCAGGCGGGGCTGGGCCCCCCGCCCCAGCTCCAATTCCACTCCAATCGGACTTCACTCCACCCAATGCTCCGTTCACGAGCGTCCGAGATGCTCACTCCTGCCTTCTTCACTCAGGAATGTGGTCAAGAGCTGATGGGCAGGCGATGGCCCCGGGGCAGCTCCGACTGGGGGAGACCTCCAGGAGCAGTGTGTCTCCCCCTCTTCGGCCAGTCCCCCGCCCTCCCGCCCAGGCCAGCTTCTGGCTCCTCCTCTGTCACAGGAGAACTGCCCTCTGTCCTGTCTCCCCGCCCCTGACAAAGGGGAGCTGTGGCCCATTGTTGCATCACCTGTCCGGGGACCCTGCCCTGTGGGTGATGACACAGGGCACCTGCCCTCCTGCAGGACGGCTGCGATGGGCACCTCTCCGGGGAGCCATCTGGCCAGAGCTGCCCAAATTAAAAGCCCACAGGTAACTTGACCCGGTGAGTTCTCTTCTAGGAATTTACCCTACAGGTTATTTCCCCCGGCACACGTCCCCACAAACATCGCATAAAGGGACCCATCGTCGCATTGGGATAGCAAAGAGCGGGCGCAATCTCTGCATCAGTCCGAGGGGGCTGGTTGCGTCTGTCACGCTCTCTCCACACGGTGGGCTGATGAAGCTAAGATACAACGAGGCCGCTCCGCGTGTGCTGATACGAAACAACACCCACGACATGTTCCTGAGTGAGAAGAACGGGGAGAACAAGATGTATGTGTTACCATTCACGTAGAAAAAGTGGAATGTGCGTCTCTGTGGTGCATGTCCGTGTGTCCCTGCCACACACACGACGCAGGAGGCCGAGGGGTCCGTGCCGGAGGTGCTGGGGCAGGGCCTGCCGAGCTCTTGTGGGGTCTGTACTGACACACCAGGGAGTCGGCTCAGCACAGAGCAGGTGGCATCTGTGAGCGAGGGCAGAGCCCGCTGGGGAGGGAGGCACCACGGTGGTTCTTGGTAACCAGAGGGGGGCCGGCTGATGGGAGCCCTGTGGACCGGAGAGAAAACCTAGCAACAGAACGGGCCTGAAGACACAGCTGGGAGGGAACAGAGCACCGGTGGGGGCCCCATCTCAGCGAGTGTGCGGTGAGCGCGCGAGCAGGGGGTGACAGTTAGGCAGGGGGGTGACAGTTAGGCAGGGGGGTGACAGTTAGGCAGGGGGGTGACAGGCAGGGGGGTGACAGTTAGGCAAGGGGGTGACAGTTAGGCAAGGGGGTGACAGGCAGGGGGGTGACAGTTAGGCAGGGGGGTGACAGTTAGGCAGGAGAGGTGACAGTTAGGCCATCTAGCATTTCAGACTCAGGTTACTCGACGGTGTACCATTCGATGCACCAGTCCCACTAACCACATTTGGCCATTTAGATGTAAATCAGCTCTCAATAAATTTAAAAAATCCAGTTGCACCGGCCACATCTTCAAGTGCCGAATGGTCACGTGTGACTATTGGTGACCCCCGAGGGACAGCATAGGCCCAGACCATTTCCCTCATGGTTGGAGGTTCTGTTGGTTGGAGCTGCTCTAGAGCACAGACATTGGTTAGGTTTCTGTCACTGATGATTGTTTATTAAGCTCTACCAACACACTCTTGTATGAGTTCTGATAAAGTATACTTGTCGTTAAGCTGAGACCAAGTTCAATGGTATTGCCCACTTTTAACATTTTCATACTATCTATTTCATTATCATAATATTCTTTTTTATTTACTATTCAGATTCTATTATTTTGCAAAGAACATCAGATCCTAGAGTCTTGTAGTTCTTGGGTCATAACCAAGGGTCTGTTTTCCATAGAAAGAATCTCAGTGCCACTGTCCAGGAGAGACTCAACTGTGCTCTGAGTTTAGGGTGGGGAGTCTGTCCATCTCTCAGGTCATTCTGGGCTGTGGCCAGACTCAGTACGAAGTGGGCAGGGGCCTGGAAATGGTGATCCTCTGGTGTGAGAAGGCAAGCCTACGGCAGGGCACTTGGGAAGCAGATCTCGGTCCAGAGGACAGACTTGGGGGTGGCTTCCCGCTGCGCTTAGAATGTGTCCAGAGCATGTGGGCCTATGGCTGTCTCTCTCCGTCCTGATTTGCACTGATTTCCTGCAGACACAGGCTGAGGGAGATGCCTGCTGGTTCTGGGCACTGAAGACCCAGCCTCCTGGGGATCCCGGGGAAGCAGTGACATCTACCGCGGTCTACTGAGCAGGGGACTGTGGCCACATTCTGTGGCAGAGCTGTCAGACGGAGTAGTGCTAAATCTCCAATTAAATTCATCCCACCTCAGTTTAAGTCTCCTTCCCTTGTGTCCTCACCACAGTTGAGAAGTGGGCGACTTCTTATCCCCATCCCTTTCGTATTCATATACAACTTAAATTTCTCTTTGAATCCTTGTTTTCCTAGTCTTTATTCTGTTTCTTATTCAGCACTTTTTACGCTTCTTCATTCAGGCTTTTTCTTCTCCACATTTACCCTGTTTTATGTCTTGGTTTCATCCAGCCACTGGCCTGCCAATGTTCCAGAGACTCGCAGACACAGTGAGCTGGGAATCAAGGGGCACTAGTCCCAGTGTTGCAAAAGTCTGAGAACTCATGTCTTTCAGTCAGGGAAATTCTTAGCAAGTTTTTCTTCAAATTATTGTTCCTTTGATATTTCGTCTTTTCTTCTAGGACTTCTGTTAGTTGCGTGTCAATGTCTTTAAAGATTCTTAATTATAGTTTATAGATTTTACCTTTTAATTCCTCTGTGCTGCCTTCTAGAGTAATTCCCCTAGGATCATCCTCCAGTTAACTAACTCGCTCTTTGACAATGTCTAATAGAGAGTTCATACCTCTTTTATTTTATATAAATGACTATATTTTTAATTTCTAAGTGTTCTTTTTGTGATTTTTTTTCATAATTATCTCTTCTTATTCTATTTCTGTATGACCTCGGGCCTTAGTTTTCCCATCTTCAAAGTCAGAAGATTGACATAGTTAATTTTAAAGGTTTTTTTATTGTTTGTTTGTTTCCCCCCCGCTCAACCAATCAAATTACTGAGTCAGTTCAAGGACAACAGAATTTTATTCCATTATATAAAGTCTATTAATAGAGCAAATAATTAATTTATTAAAATATGTGCAAGAGAATATACAGTATCTATGGATTAATAAAAAGCTAGTGTTCTGGTGCTAGACCCCAGTTTCTTATGCGTTGTCGAATTAGAGTATTTCCTAACTATCAGATTTTAAATTTGTCGTGTAGCACTGATGAGGCGAAGTATCCGACTTGAAAAGCCTGCGGAGCATGAAGAAGGAATTCTGGTTACGTACACGTTTTACATGGGTTGAGGGACAGTCACAGGCTCTGGAACAGTGGTCGTGGGGCGCGAACCTGGTGCGCAGCCCAGCACAGGTCTAGCTGAGGGAACCGGAGGCCGAGGAGCTCACCGCATCCGCTGGGGTCTTCTTCAGACGGCAGAGTCGGGCGTCGCCCGCCCCGAGAGGCTCCCGGGTGGCTCCTCAGAAAGGCGTTACTTTTTCTTCTTCCCTTTCTTTTCCTTTTTCGCTTTTTCCTTGGCCTTTCCTGCACTTCCTCCCATCAGTGCCAGGGCGCGCTTTTTGCCCATCGGGGTTTTGGTGTACCAGTTCTGAAAATAAAACACATGTTTAGGAGAATATCAAAATGACATGTATTCACCGGAATACTCTCAAAAATAAAGAAGATCTTGCTAAGATGGAAGGGGCATTAAACTGTGGGCATTTAATGTATGTTTAATACAAATCCTTTCTCACCTGTGTTTCCACACAATTTGGAACTTCTACTCAAGAAGTTAACAGTTTCAGAGAGTCACAGGCCACATCTAATCAACGCTTCCCAATGGAGTCGTCTGTCTCCCAGGGGTCTGACGCTATCCCGACGGCGTGGGTTTCCTTGGTAATCTGAATGGCCCCCGATGGTGCACAGAGACCACCAGACGCAGGACTGGTGGCTGTGTGCGCCATGGGCGGCCATGCGAGCACTCTAGGGGAGACTGCTGAAAACGCGGTGGAAATATCGAAGCCAAAACATCAACAAGGCACTTGGTAATGCAACTGGGCCCATGTCGGCATTTTCCTCGGCCTTCACATTTGATCTGAAACTTGAGAAACATTTTGGTTGGTGAACTTGATAATGGTAATAGTTCACTGAGTGACTATACTACACATTATTTATCAATTCCCTTATTGTTGACATATAGGTCATTTCCAATTTTTTATTTTTATGAAGGATGTTGAAATTCAGTCTTCACAAATCTCCTTAGACACACATGAGAAAACTTCTCTAGGTCATACACACAGAAATAGGATCCTTGGAGTTATAGGTCACAGGCAACTTTAATTTTACTTACTATTTAGATTCAAATTGTTCTCTGAAGTGGCTGTGAGTGGGAAACTATCTCAGACTCTGTATATCTTTTTATTTTCTCCTCACCTGAGATAGTTTTCCATTTATTTTCAGAGTGGGAAGGAGAAAGAGAGAGAAACATCCATGTGAGAGAGACACATTGACTGGTTGCCTCCCACACGACCCCAACGAGGGGCTGGGGACAGAACTGTAACCAAGGCACATGACCTTGACCAGGATCAAACGCTCGACTTGGTTCATAGGCCGACACTCTAACCACTAAGCCAAACCAGCCAGGGTTCTGTATGTCTTAAAACATCTTAATTTTCTCCTGTCTCTTAGATGCCAGCTTAGCTGGGTATAATTTTAGGTTGACAGTTATTTTTCTCCAGCACTTTGCCAGTTATTTTTCTCTAGCACTTTGCAGATATGATCTCCCTGTCTTCTGACATCCATTGTGGTCAAAGCGCTGTCTGGTTTCCTAAATGTTGTTTCTTTGTAGGTCTAATCTGGTATCTTTTAAGACAGGCCTATGGTCTTGTTCTCAGGTTCCCAATGATGGATGTAGGGGTGGATTTATTGTTATTCGTTCTGTTGGTCCATTGGAGTGTGTTTTTAATCTGAGAACTCATGCCTTTAATTTAGGGAAGCCCTCAGCAAATATTTCTTCAAATTATTGTTTCTTTGATATTTCTTCAATTCCTTTCTTCAACAATTTCTCTTAGTTGGGTGTCAATGTCTTTAAAGTTTCTTAAATACATTTTATTGGTTTTAACTTTTTGTTTTTCTGTGTTACCTTCTGGGCTAATTCCCCCACGACCATCCTCCAGTGCACTAATTTGCCCTTTGACCATGTCTAATCTAGAGTTTATCCTCTTTTATGTCTTTCACTTTATATGAACTGCTGTATTTTTAATTTCTAAGCTTCATTTTGTGATTTTTTTCATAACAATCTCTTATTCTATTTCCTGTCTTTGTTTCTAAACTTTGTGTATATACCTCTAATGGAAAGTTATGCCTTCATTTATTTTCTTGAACATCAGCATTATATAAATTGCAACATTTCTGTCAGATTACACTTAGCACTAGGTTTCCTATAATGTTTTGAATTTTGATTTTTTGATTCATTTCAAGCAGGGGCTTTGCTTTGGTCTCTCTCTCCCGCTCCCTCTCCCTCATTATTCCTTCCTCCCTAGCAAGACGGTAGTTGCTTCTACACGGGCCTCTGAGCCCAGATCCAGAGGCCATGGCGATTCTAATGGTGTCTAGAAGTGAGTCCTCCTTGGTGACGTGGGGGCACCCGAGAGCCAGCTGCAGAAGCAGCCGTGCCTGCTATTTCACCTTCCACGACGAACTCTGAGTTCTGCCCCTTACTTTTCTCTTTGCTGCATGCCAGGCATATAACCGTCCCCGTGTTCTCAGGCTTGTCTTTGTTTCTGGCACTTAGGGGGCTTCTCATCCTTCTTTTAGCTTTGGCTAGAATGTAAGGTGAGGCGGCCAAGCACTTAGGTGATGCGCTCCTGATTTACTGGGACACAGTGCAGAATACAGTTAATGACACTGGCTTTTAGCTTTGGAATAAGGTTTGAATTTCAGCTCTCTCCTTTTCAGCCGTGTGTGTGTGTGTGTGTGTGTGTTCTGTTGTAGCAAAGTGCCACAAACCCAGTGGTTTAAAACAAAACATGATCTTGCTTTTCTGCAGGTCCGAAGTCCAGAATGGGTGTCCCTGCAGCCGGGGTCCCTTCTGAAGGGTCCGGGGGAGGTGCAGTTCCCTCACCCTCTGCAGTTTCGAGACCACCTGCTTTCCTGGCTGGCAGGCCCTCCTCCGGCCTCAAGCGAGCGACACTGGGCACCCAAGTCTATTTCCCATGCGCTGTCTCTGGTTCTTTCTTCTGATCCCCTCTTCACACTTCTTGTGATTACAGTGGACGCACAGGGTGACCCAGGACGACATTCCTATTTCTAGGTCAACTAATTAGCCACCGTAATTCGACCTACTCCCTGAGTCTCCTTTTCCCATGTAAATCAACATATTGACACATTCCAGGGCCTAGGATGTAGACATCTTTGGGGGGCCAATATTCTGCCTCCCATACCTCTTGGTTACTCAGTACCTTCATTTGTAAAATAGGGGGCTAGATGAGTTACTAGGGGGTCTGGCATAAGGCGTCAATAGGTATGAACTAACAGTATTGTGATTATTACCACCGTTACCATTAAATATTTGCTCCGTCATGTCCATGGGCAGGGGACAAGTGTGTGGAGGCTCTGTCAGACCTTCGTCTGACAGGTTGTCAGAAACACAGGTCACACCTCTCGGGACAGAAATGACCGGCCTGATTACAAGCAACTGCAGCCACAGGATCACATTACTCGAGAGGGACAGGGCCGCTCCATCTCTCCACCTGCTCTGCGAACTCGCCCAAACAGGTTTACCGAGCATGTAGGTGGGCAGGCCCTGTGCCCCGCCCTGCAGCCACCAACGGGCAGCAGATGCACTGGGGGAGGGGCCTAGGCTGGGGGGATGGTGGTAAAATGACAGGGCTCCCTTAAAAAGTGCAGGAGTCACATATGCCAAGAAGGACCGTGAGAAGCGTGTGTTCTCATCCCCGGTAACACGGCAGCACTGACGTCTCCTGACGCGTGTGTGGCAGCTCCCGGGCCTCAAGAACCTGGAGATGGTTTTGCAAAGTGAAACACACGCGGCGAGGAAGCACAGGTGTGATGGCCCTGACGGAGCTCCTCCAAATAAGGAGTGCTTGCTTCCGTTTCTCATGGCCGCATGGCCAGTGCTGGGCGGGTGAAATGGCATTTTTCCTCCCTTGTCTTCCCAGTTGGGCAAGAAAACTGTCCAGGGCCAGAGAGACCACAGCCGCACTCCTTTGGATGAAAGGGCTGCGAGACGTGCCCGCTGGCCTGGCAACGGCCAGGGCGCTGACGTCGCCCTTGGGTAAGGAGGGACGTGAGTCTAACGTCTTGTCCTCCTATAAAAGACGGATTTGGGAGAGTTGATTTTCAAAGTTGCCTCCAGATCTAGAAAATCTGTGAACATCTTCAGAATGTGTTCAAAAATCAGAACACTAGACTTCGGCGTGTTCTCCTGAGAGGTGTGATTTCCTATCGCTAGTGCCCTGAAAATGGAAGCGGACCATGGCAGACACAGGGCAAAAGCAGCACTGGGCTGAAATATTCTACTTAGGGAATGGTCTTCTCTCTGCAAGACTTGTTCCGTTGCACAGCATATGAAGTAAAAACCAGTGAGAACCAAGACAAGGGTGTGTGCAAGTGTATGCACATGCGAGTATGCACATGTGTACGTGCACTGCATACCCACATGTACATATGTATGCATTGTACATATGTACACGTACACACATGTATGCATTGTACACATGTATACGTGTACGTGTGTGTGTGTGTGAGAGAGAGAGAGAGAAAATCCAACGGTTTTGAAGCTGATTCGCATTTCTGTAATCTGGCTATTACTGTATAAGCTGGTGGACCACGACTTTTCTAATGTTTGGAAGACACTGGTTCCGGCTAAGGCTGGAAAGACCTTGTGATCCGAAAAGCTCAAGTCCAGATTTCATCGCCTATGGCAGAGTGAGTGCCCACTCCTGGCACGCAGGCGCGCAGAGGGAGGGGTAGCGGCACCTTCGCTGCTGAGGCCGTGTGGGCTCCCTTTACCTTAAAGCTGTCTTCCTCCTCTTGGTACACGGGGTCCATGCGGCTCAGGGCGGCGATGAACTCCAGGGCCACGAGCGGCTTCTGCGACTGCTGCCGGACCCGCCGCTCCGTGAGCACCCCTTTGACCGCCTGCACGATGTGCCCCTGGGTGAAGCCATCGGCGACCTTGGCCAGGCAGCTGATGTTCAAGGTGCTCGTGATGACGCCCCCTTGGCGCTGGATGATGTGTCTCCACAGAACTGTGGAGGGAGAGACAGACGCCCGGTCAGCCGGAGCTGCGCCTCGTCAGGCCCCCGTCCCGCCCGTGAGCGGAGCGCCCCCACGACGGCTGTCCTCCGATTCCCACCCACGACACACAGAGCGAGGTGCACGCCCACGAGTCCCTTGCGAATTGACAAAGATAAATCAAACCCCGGCCGGTCCGGTTTTAGAGGGGTGCCTTTGAAGACACTCCAACTCTTTCCGAACTGGAAACTCACACAGGAGCACACGGGGTCTCTGCCCATCAGAACAGGGTTCCCCACAGTCTGGGTAAGTAGGGGGTCACATCTTGCTTATTTTTAGATGCAGATTCTAATTTCCACCACGCATGGCAGGCTCAGCTCCCTTGGGGCGAGGCACTGTGTCAGACCTCGTGTCCAATAGAGCGACGTGACCCTACTCTCTCCCCCCAGAAACCGGGGACACACACGTAGCTTGACTGATGGACGGGATGGGAGCCCGGCTGTTTCCTGGGTGAGTGGGACCTGGGGCACCGAGAGGTCTCAGAACACAGGGATGTGTGAACGAGAACTGTGAGTGATTCTTGGGGTTCACTGAACGCTGGAGACGGCGGGGCGCCCACAACCATTCGCGGTAGCACTCACAGCCACTCGGTAGCGAGGGGCGGAAACGAGACCCACCGTGCCCAGTGCGGTCTGCAGACGGCGGGCCCCGCAAGCCGCCGGTCTCAGAGCCGGGGAGGACCTGGTCAGACGACGCATTTCGACCTTCTTTGAGGAAGGTCAAAGATGTTCTTTAAAAGGCGACCATTACTGCCTGACCCGCGCACGGCCGGTCTGCTGAGTGACCACCTCGTCCGAATACCTCGGTCAGGAACGCGCAGCGAGATGCGCCGGTCTGACGACTGACGTGCCACGGGGCTGTGACCACGTCCGAGCCTGGCTTTGGGGCCACGAGCTACTCCGACAATCCCCCCTGCCCTCTTCGGTCGAGGCCCTGGGAAAGGACACTACACGGGGCCTGCGGGTGTCTCCAAAGCGTGGACGGTGAGTCTTCGAGGGTCGAGCGCTGTAGTAAGGGGGCCGGCCAGGGCTCTGGGGGCCTCAAAGTGGCCCCTCAAGCCACATCTCACCTCCTGGATCTACATGCTTGGGGGTTCAGTGAGCTTGAGGGCGTCTCGGGTTTCCCCGTAGCCTGGGAGGAGACCGACCGAACTCTCCGGCTGCGGAGAAGTAGGAATGTAAATACAGCCCGAGACGCCGTTCCCACACCGCCCACGGAGGCATCGACTGCAGGAGGTGCCGGGCACGCCGCAGGGCTCAGCGAGCTGTGTGGGGGAAGACGAGCGTGGCGGGTGAGGAGCACCCCGCCCCGGTACGATGGCTGGAGGGTTAGAAACCAGGAGCCGTTGCCCGCGGCAAAAATAAACCACCGCCTCAACCGGACAATGTCGTCCCAGGGGTCCAGCCTGTCCCCTGCCCACAGTTATGACTCTGCAAAAGGTGCAAACGCGTCTGAGCGGTCAGTCTGCGGGCTGGAAGGGGAGTCTCGGGATTGTCCCTAAAGCCGAGGACCCGGTAGGTGCCCCAGGATGGGAACCCAGGTTCCTCCCTGCAGCACAAAGGGGACCAGCCAGTGGGCACGCGCGAGGGCCAAGGGCTCCCAGCAGCACACACTCTGCTCTCCCCTGCACCCTGTGAAGCTACGACCGTCCCGCCCCCCACCCCACGCGAGGAACCTCTACAGGCAAAGATTCACGAGCGGCGGAGTTAAGACCACGAGTCCTCGGGTCTGGCGAGCACCGTGAACGCACCGCTGACCGCCTGCGCGGATGCTTCGTGGTGTTCGTGCAGGGTTGTGCTCAAGCTCCCTCGAGAAGGGTCGCTTCCGAGCCCGCCGGTGTCTGGTGGGGGCAGCAGGGCACCTGTGGACACGTCACGGGGCCGAGTCCAGAGCCACGGCCAGCCCAGAGAGGGAAGGGCGACCAGGCCCGACGTCCCCTTCGAGCTGGGCTGGATTCACGCACCTTCGGAGGAGCCTGGCCGTCCTTCCAGCGCCAGCAGCCCAGCCCCCCCACAGCGGCCGGGGCTGAGACGGAGCCGGGCAGAGCGAGGCGTGGCCTGGCGTGTTCTTGGAGGCGGCCGAGCCCTTGGCCCACGGAGAACACAAGCACCCAGGCTGGGGGCGGACAGAGCGTGGCCGCGAGGATGGGGGCCAGGGAGCTGGGAGGGCAGCGGCGGGGGTCCCTCCCGGCTGAGTGATGTGTTTCACTTTCTCTCTTGGATGCAAAGGCACCTCCGCTCTCCAGACGAATCTACATCCTCGGCCCCCCGGGGCTGGAAGGGACGGGGCCCGGGCCTCCGGGTCTCCTCCGCCTCTGCGTTCCACACGGACGCGGCCCTGCCTGGCGTTTGTGACGACAGCGTCTTCAAGTTTGTTCTACGGGTTTTGCACAACAGAAGAGGTGAATGACGGGGAGGGAGTCTGGCCTCCGAGGCCTGGGATTCCGGGAAAGTCAGAAGAGCAGAGCCTGGGGCCGGGGTGGGGCGGGAGGTGGGTTATTAGCGGAACGGACCCCCGGAGGCCCAGGAGGAGCACCGGGTAAGCGGAGAGAAGAAGCCTGAGAGGAATTTTGGGGACCAGACAGGCATTGATCAAGCGGGGGGTGGATTTGCTTCGCAGACATTTGGAAGGAAAGAGTTGACGTGGGGCACGAAGGCAGACGGAACTGTGTGTGGGGAACCCAGGGACGGCATCTCCGCGGGCTGATCCACCCGGTCCAGCCCAGTCACTCCCGACTGAGGACGGGACAGGTGGGCGAGACGCCCCGCCCCACTCTGCCGCGTGTACACGGGTGGCCGGCAGAGGCCCCGTCCCGGGTCTGTAACTACACTTTCTGAGCTGGAAGAGACCACTTTTGATCACTGTAAAGACGGGAACAGTCTTTAAGATGGATCCCAGCCACGGGGGCTGGGGAACCCCGAGATCTCAGGAGGGGATGTCGGGCAGCATTGACGATGTTGGCAAAACAGCCACCTGAGAACATCGCCCACCGAGAGAGAAGGAAACGCACTGCAGGCCCTGGGCCCTCCCGCCCGCCCCTTCCCTCCCGGTGCTGCCCGGACACTCCGGGGCGCAGCTGCCACGTGATCTGGCCCTCAGAGGTGATGGGCACTTCATCAGACACAACTGTCTTTGTTATACACCAACGGCTTCGTTTGAAAAAGCCCACGGTTTGGTCAAATAGAAACGACTCCGTCTAAAGTCGAGAACAGTGCTCCAGCCCCTCACAATGACTAGTGCCCCCCTTTGTCCCGTTACGATCCCATGAAGATAATACCTATTTGAAGGAGGAGGAGGAGAGGGAGGAGGGAGAGGAGGAGGAAGAGGAAGACGAGGAAGAGGAAGAGGAGGAAAGAGGAAGAAAAGGAAGAGGAAGAAGAGGAAGGGAAAGGGGAAGAAGAAGGGGAAGGGGAAGAGGAAGGGGAAGAGGAGAAAAGAGGAAGAGGAAGAAGAGGAAGGGAAAGGGGAAGAGGAAGGGGAAAAATAGGAAGGGGGAGGGGAAGGGGAAGAGGAGGAAAGAGGAAGAAGAGGAAGGGAAACAGGAAGAGGAAGAGGAGGAGGAAAGGAACCCTGCTGGGGCAGTGAGGAGTGACGGGGTATCTCTGGCAAGACCGGGCGCATGGGACCCTCCGCACTCACCCAGTGGGCTGGGACTGCTCACCCGTTTCTGTGCCGGCTCCTTCGCTGGCCGGACTGCCCATCCCTCCCCCTCAAACCTCGGCGGGGCCACGTGAGTCCCTCTGGCCAGTGTAACATGGGTGGGAGAACGGATGGCCCCTGCTGGGCCCAGTGGCTAGAATCTCCTGAGACCCTTCTGCCCTGTGTCGCTGGCTGGGCGCAGGGGTCCAGCGGAGGGCTGGGCGGCCCTAGGAAGCAGACGCTCCCCGACGGATGGAGACAGGACGGGACCAGGGCGCTTCTGTACTTTGGTAACATGGATCCACGAAGCCAGGGTCATTATTCCTCAAGACAGAAATGCCCCCACGGTACAAACGGGCAGCTAAGCCAGGAGCTTGCAACACGTGTTGGGGGCGGGTTCTGCTTTTAGCTGACGGCAGTTAGAGACCAGCCTGAAGCACCAGGGCCCCTCTGTCTGGGTGGTGGTACCGTGACTGGCTAGGGACGAACAGGAACGGGAGTCTGACCTGGTCATTTTTACAATTATCGTGAATGCTCAACACGGCTGCAATGTCCCGGCTGTCACAGTCTCCTCCCCCTCCCCCTTCGCCGTGACCCCGCCCCCTCCATCAGAGCCACATGCCACCGCCGCTGCGGGAGGGGAAGGTGCCCCTCCCTGAGCCCCGGTGGTGTTCACACCGTGCCCACTGCCTCGGATGTGGGCTGGGCCTGGGACGGGCTCTTGACCAGTGGACGGCGGCCCGTGATTCCGTGTGGCTTCCGATGCTGGGCCCCAGGAGCCCTGCGGCTGCTGCCCGGACCTCTCCGGAGCCTGCTCTGAGGAGGCCTGGCCCCGCGCTGCGCTGTGTGCTCGGGGCAGGCATGGCTGTCTGGTCAGCAGCCGGGCCAGCGACGGCCAGCGACGGCCAGTGACGGCCAGCGACGGCCAGCGTCAACCCTGTCACGGGAGTGAACCACCTTGGATGACCGGCCCTGTCCAGTCCTCTGATGACTACAGCCCCCCCTGAGGTCTGACTGCCACATCCTGGGAGCCCAGGGAGCACCCCAGTGGGGCCCAGTGAACCCTCAGAACCACCACAGGGGATTAGGTGTTGTTTTCCACTCCGGGGGGAGAGGGAGAGTGTCGTTCCAGCAACGGAGGGCCCCCACCCTCCACGCCAGCCTCCTCCCGCCCTCTCCACCACGCTGCGCTCTCCTGGGTGCGGAGCCGTGCCAGGCATCCGCTAACCACCTCCGCACGGGTCTCAACAGCACCGCAACTTAACCCTTCTGCTACTTCACAGGGGAGAAACGGTGTCGGAAGGTCAACTGGGCCGTCGCGGTCATCCAGCTGTCCCCCGGCTGAGCCGGGACCCGGAACCAGGTCTGTCAGAGCCCGGGTCTGCACTGCCTCTCGGGGTCTCTTTTTTTGTATTGTTCCCATTTAAAAACGTTTCAAAAGATGTGGAGTTTGAATCTGTCTATTCAAGCATAAAGAAGCTAAGAGAGTGAGCCTCTGTTGTGTTTCATGTTTATTTTAAGTAAGTCAACATGTTCCTGGACTCGGACTTGGAGGCTGAAAGAAGAAAAAAAACCGACCTTGTGAAAAGAAATGGTTTTTATGAGAAAGACTCCATCCCCACGGGCACGAGACGCGCGATCCCTGGCTACCCTTCAAAAGGAACATTCGCACCCACGAGGCTTTGTCACCGCCAGGCCCGGAGTATTAATCCCGTCTGCCCTGCTCCGCTCTCGTGCAGGAGTGTTCGCGGCGGGGACAAGGCGCGTTCCGCATCCCCCCCCTCCCCCCCCGTGGCCCGAGCTTGGGGGCGCCAGGTGCTCAGGGGCTCCAGCGACGTCCCCTGGTGGTGACGGTGTGCAGGGCCCCCCGCCCCCGGCGGCCAGGCGGCCGGGGTACTTGCCGTATCTGGACGCGTAGTCGGGCCGGGGCACCAGGATGATTTTTTGGTACACCCTGCAGAAGGGCTGCAGGTCGGCGTCGAAGGGGCGGCGCGTGGTCCCCACGATCAGGATCCGGTCGCTGGGCTTCAGGAGCTTCAGGAGTTTGGGGAGCTGCTTCTTCAGGCGTTTGGGTTCCATCTGGGGCAAGAGAGGGGAGGCATGAGCCTGGCGTAGAGAAAGAGGGGCGAGTGGGGGGCTCGTCCTGCAGCAGGCGCTTCCTGCCCTCAGCCTCTGGAATGCAGATCTGGGGGGGCTGTGGAACCTTCCCGCACCCGGGCCCTGAGAACGGTGGCGGGTGTCCGAGCGCAGGGGCCGGCTGGGGTTGGGAGTCAGTTCACGGGGCTCCGTGTTCCTCTGAGCTGTTCGAAGCGGAACCCGAGAGTCCCTTGCTGACCACAGTGACAAGGAGGGGCCGGGCCCTGGACCGCGTGTCTGGGAGACGCCCGCACCGAGGGTGGAGCATCCGTCTCCCAGGCGGTTTGGAAAGGGTGTGACCTGGATGTCCCTGTGACCTCAGCACTGACGAGGGAGAGGAGACACGGCCCAGGGAGGGCACAACACCAGGGGGTTGCCATGGAAACACGACGCTCAATGAACCCGCCTGGCACAGGGAGCCCAGGGGAAATCTGGGAGAGGGGGGGCCTGCGCAGGGCACAGGGCACAGCCCCGGCATTTTGCTCCCGGCTGGTTCAGGGACAACTGAGCGGGTGACAACGCGAATGTTGAGCTCAAGGCCCCGCTGCCCGGCTGCTCTGGAGCAGACCGCCGACCCTGCGGAGAGGCCCCTGGGTCCGGCCCTATGTGTCCTGCACGCCCGGCAGAGCGCCCGCCGGACACCTGGGGGAGGGAGGAGAAGCGAACCGCAGGTGCTGGTGACAGAGCTGTGCACTGGTGCGGGACACTCCTGTGCTCGAGAAGCCTGCTCCACAGGAGGCCTTGGGTGGCCGTCTCTCCCCGAGTGGGACCCTACAGGGCTGTGATTTGGGGCCCAGGTGGCCAAACTGCTGTGCACGGCGACAGTGCACCTGGAGGTCAGGGGTGCTGAGCAGAGACAGGGGTGGGTGGGTGGGAGGGAAGCTGGGGCACCTGGGGTTGGGGGGCAGCTGGACTGGGCTCTGGGCACAGGTGTCCACTCGCACTGTGTGGCCACGCAGCGGCCCCGTGGTTCTCTGCCGTCTCCCTCTCTGCGTGACCCGCGAAAGGCCAAGTTCCCTGTCCGGACGCCCAGGGGCAGGAAGGACACTGGGCAGGGAGAGCGGGATCCGGGTGGAAGGACTGTTGGGGGCATCTGATGGGAGTCTGCAGAAGCCTGGGGGTTCCCCCTGACACCCAGACATCCACCTTGCACACAGCATGTCCTTAGCCAGCTGGGGGGACAGCTCCCGGCTGGCAGCACAGGTGGTAGCGTCACCCAAGTGATGCTGCAAGTGGACTTCCTCCCTCAGCCCGGGCCGCCTGGGGGCGGGCAGTCCTCACCCCCACTCTGCCGGGAGCACCTGAGACACAGGCTGCGCAATGCCCTGAAGTCCCCGAGTTAATGAGCAGGATGCTGACCGTGGACACGGAGGACTGTCTCCTTCCTCTGCTCCGGGCCTCGCGTCACGGGGGGTGTCCTCAAACCTCCTTCCTGGGTAAGGGCCTGTCCCAACTGAGGCCGCAAAGGAGACTTCAAACGTATACTTATCACTATTACCCCTATCGTAACGTTATCGTTATATGGATACTGTGATGCGATGTCCGCTTCAGTGAGATACAATCCACATCCTCACAATTCACCTATTTACTGTGTGTTAGTATAACCAGAGTGGTACAATCATCGCCACAATCGATTTTGGGACACTTTCATCTCCCCCAAAGGAATGTAGCCCGTCTGCCCCCACCCCCTCTCCAGACCAGGCAGCCGCAGTCTACCCTCTGCGCGGACAGATGTGCGCTCTCCCGAGTCCACAGAACCAGAACCTGCGCTGTGCGTGGGGGCTTCTCTCTCTCAGCGTCCTGCTCCGAGGCGCCCCGTGGTGCGTGTGTGGGTTCCTCACTGCGACTGCTGGGCAACCCCAGTGTACAGTGGACCACGTTTCGCTTGTCCACCCTTCGGCTGCTGGGCATTTGGGGCATTTCCGTTTTCTTGGCTCACGTGAGCGGTGCCACCATGAAATCTGTGTGGACATGTTCTCAGTTCTCTGGGGCGTACACTGGGAACGGACTTGCCGGTCATACGGCTACTCTAGGTCTAACCTTGTGAAGGAATGTCAGACTGTTCTCCAACGCCGCTTCACAACCCCAACAGCGGAACACCGGGGTTCCAGTGTCTCCACACCCTGGTCAACGCCTGTTACGGTCTATTTTCATTTCCTCTCGCCTCCCGCCTCCTGGTGGACAGAAGTGGTATCTCTCTGTGGCTCGGAGGACTGTCTGCTGGCCGATGATGTCCAGCATCTTGTCACGTGCTCACTGGCTGGCTGCCTATCTTCTCGGGGAAAATGTGTATTCAGGTCCTTTGCCCACGTTTTCCTTGGGTTACGTGCCTTTTTATTACCGAGATGTCAGAGTTCTTTATATGTTGCGGATACAGGTCACTTGGCAAACCCTTTCTCCCGTTCTGTGAGTTTCCGTTGCACTTTCTGGATGATGTCTTCCACACTGACATCTTTTTCAGTCTTGATGGAACACAAGTACGCTTGTGCGTTCGGTGTTCTCCGGAGACACCACTGCTTAGCCCAGGCCACGTGGATTTCTGCCACTATTTCTGCCCCTTTTAGTTCTTCGGGGTATTATCGATCGATTTTTATACACCGTTTAAGGGAGGGGTCCCATTTCATCCTTTTGCGGGTGGCTGTCCAATGGCCATTTGTTGAGAAGACCATTCTCTCTCCACTGCATTGTCTTGGCATCTTTGTCACAAAAATCAACGGATCGGAGAAGTAAGGGTTTGCCTCCGGAGCCCCGACTCTGTTCCGCTGAGCCGTGCGTCTCTCCGTGGGCTGACCCGCTGTCCGGACTGCTGCCACTTTGGGAAGTGTGTCTCCGAGTCCGTTCCTTCGCGGATCCTTCGGGCTGTCCCGGGGCCCCCGCCGTTCCCTGTGAATTTTAGGATCCGCTTGTCCATTTCTACAAATATGCCCGCTGTGGTTTTGATGGGGATTGCCCTGAATCTGCAGATCAGCTGGGGAATCTTGCCCTCTTAACAACATTGAGTTTTTCAGTCCATGAACACGACATGTTTCCATTTAGCTCGGTCTTCTGTAACTGTTTTTGATGTTCTCCAGGTTGCACAGAAGTCTTGTGCTTGTTTGTTAAATTTATTCCTAAATACTTTATATTTTGGTGTTATTATAAATGGAACTGTTTTCTTAACATTTGATTTTTGATTGCAAGAATGTGTGTGTGTGTGTGTGTATTTGTATATTGATCTTCTATCCTGCAACTTTGCTGAACTAGTTCTAATATTTTTTTTTATTGGATTCCTTCGGATTTTCATTACACAGGCTCATGTCATCTGCAAACAGAGACAGTTTCACTTCTTCCTTTCCAATATGACGGACTTTTATTTCATTTTCCTTCCCTAATTGTCCTGGCGAGAAACTCCAATAGAACACTGGCCAGAAGAGGAGCCCGTAGGGAGAAGTGTCCGGTCTTCCTGTGCACGGGATGTCAGCTGTGATGTCCTGTGGCTGTCCTCTTAGCAAGTTGGAGAAGTTCCCCCTCTCCCACTTTGTTGAGTTTTTTTAATCACCGAGGGGTGTTAGATGCTGTCGAATGGTTTTCTGCATCCAGGAACTGATGATGGGGGTTTTGTCCTTTATCCTGATGATATATTATATCACCTTAATTGATTTTGGGGTTAAACTGGGGATAAACCCCACTTGGTCATGGTGTACACTCCTCTCTCTATGTTGCTGGGTTCAGTTCAGGGGGGGCTTCTGTAACCTGAGTCACAGCAGAGAAAGAGACTGGATTTTCACAGCGAAATAAATCTCACAGGCTGGGCCTGAGGCCAGACCACGAGGTGTCTTCGTGTCCGGTCCTCCGGCACTCACAGGAGTCCGGCCGGCCCCGGCTCCGGCAGGGGGAGCAGCGGCCCGCACACCCCCAGGCAGCTCCGGTGGGGGCTGAGAACGCGGGGCTTAAGGGGGCGAAGTGCCGGAGAGGGATGACGCCGCAGGAGACGCCCTGAACCCCAGGACACGCAGCCCCAGCAGGAAGGAGAAACACCTGCGCACGCGGTGCTGCTCCCCAGCGCCCCCCAGGTCTTCACAGAACCCGTCCTCGCTCAGACCAGTCTCTGGGCTGGCCCGGGACAGGAGGGTGGCTGCTGGGCCTGTGCTCGGACACTCGACGTCCCCTGGGCGCAGGCTGCGTGTGAAAACGAGAAAGCCGAGGAAGAAGCTCCGTAGCAACGGGCAGGAGAGCAGCCGACGGCTACGCGCGCAGACTTGATTTCAGACAGATCTCTTCCCAGTCTTGGCTCTGCTCCGAACAGCTGTGTGGCTTTGGGCAGGTCACTCAACTTCTCTGAGCCTTCCCTGCACCTGAGAAATGGGGTTCTCTTAGACCCTACGTCACTGGGATGCTGTGGGCACCGCGTGGCCCGATGTGCCCGACCAAGTGCTTAATAAGGAGCCATCGTTCTGAAACGCAAGTGACGGCGGGAAGGCAGGGCTGGGTCCGCTCTGTGGAAGGGGAGTGTTTACAGGGGAGAGGCAGAGAGGCCGGGGTCATTGTGACCTGGAGGACACACACCAGCAACACTGCCCACCGAGCTCAGAATGACTGCAGAAAAGCTCCCGTCGGTTTCCACTGTAGGAGGTGAGCCTTGACCCGCTCGGCTCTGAGAAGCCGCCTTCTGGCCCCGTCCCTTGAGGAAGGCGGTTCTGCTGAGACCCGGGAAGATGACTCCTCGCGGGGACACCTGCCCCGTGTCAGGAGGCACTGCGCTGCTCCGGATGAGGCCCGCGGGGCCTGCAGCCGAGCTCATCGGACCGGGGTGGGTCCAAAGCCCTCTCAGGAAAGGTGGCTCGATTAGAGCTAAACAACTCTTTGAAATGCAAAAGGGGCAGGAGCTTGGGGGGGGGAGTCTTGGTGGGAGCAAAGTGCGGGTGGGCCCTGCTTGAGTTTGCAGCATCGCGTGGAGTGTCCTGGGGTGACCCCGGGTGACACCTTGCGTCTCGGGGGAGAGCTTTGAGCTGAGGATGGACTAGGGGAGTCACTGGTTTAGGGGTGAGCTCTGCAGCCATGAGATGGTGCCCAAGGCAGGCACATGGGAGCTGCCCAAAGACACGTGGAAGACCTGACCCCAGGGTCCTGGGAGGGCGGAGACGCGCTTGCACCGGCTGAGCCCCTTCCAGCAGCCGAGTTGCCATGGTGACGATGGGGCAGTCCTGGAGGAGCTGAAGCAGAAGACGGTGTTGCTACCTGTCCTGAAATCGCAGGGACCGCTGGACTCAGTTCGCCTGTTTAGGTGACAAGTGTTGGTCCTGGGCTGTGTCCGGAGTGACATCGCGGCTGAAGGGCGGCGCCGTCCCGCGGGGAGGGCGGAAGGGAGAAGTGAGTCCGCCCCATCAGCACCCTGCACAGGGGCCGCCCTCGCTCCGGTTCAGAGCAGCGTCCACGGTGCAAGAGGCCCTCGCGCTCATCATCGTGCCAGCCGACAGCCCCTCGCTGGCCACCTCCACAGCCGCCGCCCCTGCCGCCGGCCAGCAGCCTGCAAGCCGAGTCTCCGGGGCAATTTCGAATGAACGTCCGTGTGCCTTTCGGGAGTCGGCTCCACCGAACCGCAGCCGCAGCCGCTCCAACAGGCCAGCGAGCCCGCGTGGAGGCCCCTCGACTGGGGAAGGCTCCCGAGATGCAGGAAGGATAGCGGTGCATAAATGCATCCCAGGCCGTCGTGCCTGGTCCCTCACAGCCCTGCCTCGAGCTAAGGGCTGGGAGGACGGCTGTGCGTCCAGCGCAGGAGGAGGAGGCCGGGCTCTGCACAGGCCGTGGTGCCTGGTCCCTCACAGCCCTGCCTCGAGCTAAGGGCTGGGAGGACGGCTGTGCGTCCAGCGCAGGAGGAGGAGGCCGGGCTCTGCACAGGCCGTGGTGCCTGGTCCCTCACAGCCCTGCCTCGAGCTAAGGGCTGGGAGGACGGCTGTGCGTCCAGCGCAGGAGGAGGGGCCGGGCTCTGCACAGGCCGCCGGGCCGGGTCCCTCACAGCCCTGCCTCGAGCTAAGGGCTGGGAGGACGGCTGTGCGTCCAGCGCAGGAGGAGGAGGCCGGGCTCTGCACAGGCCGCCGGGCCGGGTCCCTCACAGCCCTGCCTCGAGCTAAGGGCTGGGAGGACGGCTGTGCGTCCAGCGCAGGTGGAGGAGGCCGGGCTCTGCACAGGCCGTGGTGCCTGGTCCCTCACAGCCCTGCCTCGAGCTAAGGGCTGGGAGGACGGCTGTGCGTCCAGCGCAGGAGGAGGAGGCCGGGCTCTGCACAGGCCGTGGTGCCTGGTCCCTCACAGCCCTGCCTCGAGCTAAGGGCTGGGAGGACGGCTGTGCGTCCAGCGCAGGAGGAGGGGCCGGGCTCTGCACAGGCCGCCGGGCCGGGTCCCTCACAGCCCTGCCTCGAGCTAAGGGCTGGGAGGACGGCTGTGCGTCCAGCGCAGGAGGAGGAGGCCGGGCTCTGCACAGGCCGCCGGGCCGGGTCCCTCACAGCCCTGCCTCGAGCTAAGGGCTGGGAGGACGGCTGTGCGTCCAGCGCAGGAGGAGGAGGCCGGGCTCTGCACAGGCCGCCGGGCCGGGTCCCTCACAGCCCTGCCTCGAGCTAAGGGCTGGGAGGACGGCTGTGCGTCCAGCGCAGGAGGAGGAGGCCGGGCTCTGCACAGGCCGCCGGGCCGGGCGGGCGGGCGGGCGCGGAGCTGGGCCTTCCTGACCGGCTAGACATCGAGGGCTTCTCCGGGGTGCTGAGGGCAGAGGGCAGGGCGCGGGGTGTGGTCCGGAGTGGGGGGCTTTCGGAGCCCTGTGCCTTGGGCACTAGGACAGGGGGCCCCATGGGCGGTTTTCAGGATGTGGTCTAGAGTGGCCCGGAGGGTGAGGCGGGGTGGTGGGTGGACAGACAGAAGCCAGGTTTCAGTGCTGCGGTGTCGTCCCAGGGGTCACTGACAGCTCGAGGGGCGCAGGAGAGAGCATGTGAGGGGGGCTTCATGAACGTGGGGGCTGTTCTCTTTGAAACCCTTCAGTGAGAAAGTAAGGAATTGGAGGCTCAGAGAAGTTAAGTTACTTGCTTAAGGACACACAGCGCTAAGGTGAACAGCAGAGAAGGCCAGGAGCCGTTTCCCTGAGTCCCCACTGTCCACCGGCGTCCGCTCCCCAGGCTGCTGTCCAGCAGGACACGGAGCAGCCCTTGCCACAGGCGAGACACAGCTTTCTGGGATTAAACACCCCCGGCGTTTCTCTTTAGATTTATGATTGGGCCTTGTGACCCCAACCTTCCCGTTCGCCTCCGTGGACTTTTCTTTCCACGTGGAGCCGCTTGGCCAGCAGAGGGCGCGACCTACCAGGCTCGCGGACTAAATAACGAAGGACAGGGCAATGGAGGCTCCGGTGGGGAGGAGAGACCAAGCTTTCCTCCTGCATCCACTCCATCGCCACCTGCTCAAGGCGCCGCACAAACCGTGCGGGTCCAGGGTGAGGGGCACCCTGACGGGCTCGGTCAGAAACTCCAGTTCCCCACCGTCTGCTCTGGCGCAAACCACGTCTACAGGAGCCTGGGCCTCTGCACCTGTTTTCCTTTTAACTGGTGGGAAATTTGCGGGTGAGCTGTGGGGGGAAGTGCGGGGGAGGGGCCACTGAAGGGAGAGAAAGGAGGGAAGGAAGCAGTCGAGGCCCCGGCCTTGCTGCTCTCCCAGGTCCGCGCGGCCTTTGTTCCGCTCGGCCCTCTGCCATGTCCCTCGGAACAATGGGAAGTCCTAATAATAACTCCGAGGGTGCTCAGCGGCTCCCCACCTCCCATCAGGTGTTTGGGCCCCCCACCCCAGTCCTTCATGTCTTCTAAATTATGCCTCAGAAACCAGCCCCCGGGTCCTTCCAGACAGGGACAAGAACTTGGGGCGGAGGGAGAGGCCGGCCGTGTGCTTCCTCCCTCCCTGAGCGAGCCAGGCCTTCTCCAGGGGCCCGGAGGGGCGAGGCCACGCAGCCGGTGGGGGCCTCACCGTCCTTTCGGCGCTGGGGACTTTTCTGTAGAAGGTTTTCTCCGTGTCTCCGATCCACACCACGGACGGCTGCAGCTGCCGGGCCACCTGCAAGGAGAAGGCTCGGTGGGGAATGCCATTCCGTCCTGGGGCGCGCCTGATCCCCGGGACGGCAGGACCGGAGTGCTCCCCATGCGGGCTGTCGGGGTGGCGGGCATCCGAGCACCACCGCTGCACCTGGCCCGGCCCTACCTCCCTTCACGCAGGGCGGGGCCGAGAGGGTCCCGTCCCACCTTCGGGCAGGGCACACTCAATGTCAGCACATTCTGTTCTAGGTCCCCAGGCCTCCACCCCATTTGGCGTGAAATAAGCCAATAAATTTTCCTGGGCCCACAGACGGAAACGGAGCTGGGGTTTGAACTGCAGCCCGCCCAGTGCCCAGGTTCAGGGGTTCAGGGGGAGTTTGCACTGCAGCCTGCCCAGTGCCCAGGTTCAGGGGTTCAGGGGTAGTTTGCACTGCAGCCTGCCCGGTGCCCAGGTTCAGGGGTTCAGGGGGAGTTTGCACTGCAGCCTGCCCAGTGCCCAGGTTCAGGGGTTCAGGGGGAGTTTGCACTGCAGCCCGCCCGGCGCCCAGGTTCAGTGGGTTTGCCCACGGCGAGCGAAGCTGTCTCAGCACCGGGCCCGCGATGCCGCGTGTGTCTCATTTGGCTGTGTCTTTGTGCCCGAGGTTTCGCCCGGCCCGTGGCTCCAAGCCCCTCCAGGGCGGGCAGGGCTTTGCGACAGCGCTGGGACTTTGGGGCCAGGGAATAATTGCCACTCGCCCAGCAATCTCTTCAAAGCGCCCCCATGGCAGCGAAGTTCGGGTATTTTTGCAACAATCTGTGCTCTGTGCGGAATGGTGACAGATGAAAGCTGTCTCCAGCCAGTGAATGGTGTTATGTACGCCTATTTTTATATTTCTTTAAACATCACGAAGGCAGCAGGCGTGATTTTAAACCAAGACAGACATTTAATCAACGACGGAAAAAGCACCGGGAACACTGGCGGCCTGTTTCCCCGCATCAGGGACCCTGCGGAGCAGGCTGCTCGTGTTGCCTTTCACTGGACGCTGGTGCTAGCCCGGCACCGGCTGGCTGCGCTCACAGCGCCACCCGCTGGCCGTGCACACACACGGCAGCCCAGCCCGACACTTGGCTGGCATCATCCAGGGCCAGGGCCAGGGCCAGAGCGGAAGAGCTCAGGATCGCGCTACCCCAGCCCGAGGCGGCGTGCCCTTGCTACCGGCCGTGGCTCTCCAGCAGCCTGGCTCGCGGCATCACGCACAGGGTCAGGGCCAGCATGGACCCCGTGCGTCCTCCCTCACCCTCCCTGCTACCCGATGAGACAGGTACTGTGGTCACTGACCCTGCTTACAGATGGGGAAACCGAGGCTCAGATGGCAAGTGACCCGTCCAAGGTCACGCAGGTAGGAAGACAGGGGAGCAGGATACCAGGCCTGCTGAGGGTGCCCGGGCCTGTGCGGAGGCTCAGCCACTTCCACAGGCCCCTCTACTCGAGCCACAGACCTGAGCATCCACCCTGCCTCGCTGCCCACGTCCCGCAAGCCCGTGGTCCGCCCGATCCACCCCAGCGTCTTCCACGCCATGGCCGTCCATCCTCTCCGTCCCGGTAGCCCCGACTCTGCCCAGTAAGGCCTGCTCACTGTGGCTCACGCCCGAGGGGGCGGCCCGAAGGTACCGCTGTTCCCCAGAAGCTAGTCTGAGTTGGTCAAAAGCTTCCCTAATTCCAGCCCCCAAGGAAAAGAAGAAAGTGAGGTACAGTGTGGGGAAGGCTTGAAGCGTCTTAGAAAAAGATCCTTTATGATGACAGAGGCACAACCTCGCTCTTCTCAGTCTGAAGAATCTGCTTTAGAACCGAAACGCATGGAAAAACGATTTTCACATAAACAATCGTCTGCTGTCTCAGGCCCGTCCCCGCGCTCCCTCCTCCCCGCACCCATTGGCGCAGGGAGGATTTTCTGCAGCTTTTACTGGCGACCTTCAGTCCGGCGTTTCTTAATGGAAACGGCAGATGTGCGCACCCGGGCTGAGCGGTCCCCTCCTCCTGCTGGTGACACAGGACGCCACGTGGACGGTTGGAAACAGGAGCCTCGGTGGCTGGGGATGATCTTGAGGTCGTCTGTCTTACTGTCGCCCCTGATTTAAAGTGGATCTGAAATCTTGGCCACGCCACCCCATTGAGCCCGAAAGTTCCCGCTCGCTCCCTGAACTGTGTGCACTTTCCGAGCCGGTGGGGATCCGCTGCCCCAGTGGGGGGCCCCTTCCCCGGGGCGTCACCTGCTGTGGGGCACTGCCCTGTGTGGAGGACCGTGCTGGTGACGCGGTTAGAAAGGTTGTCACCATCAGACGACAGAAAACATTTCCCCAGCGAGTTCTTTGATGATAACAATCCAGGGAAGGACCCTGGGCCCAGGGCCTCGGTGTCCAGGACCCTCCCTTGCCACAGGCCAATGCTGTGCCCACCTTGTCCCCTTCACAGGTGAGGTTGCTGAGGCCGAGGGGTCCGTGTGGTGCCCGCCAGCACTGGAGCAGCCGCACCTACCAGGCCCCACAGCACCTGCTCACCGGGGACCCGGGCCCCCTCCGTGGCCTTCGTCCCAGCAGGGAGCTCTGACCCGCCCGTCTCGTCCTCCGGAGTGAGGCTCTGGGCCCCTGACCGTCCTCCGTGGTGAGCTGGTCAGTGCCTGGGCAGCAGAGGCTGGAAGGCGGGGCCTCCAGGAGGCCCCCCCCCCCCCCGAGCAGGAAGGGCCGAAGGAACGGGGGCTCCGTCCTTGGAGAAAAAAGTGTCTGGAGGGGTGAGTTCGCCATTTGCAAACGGGACAGGCCGTTGCGGGGAAGAAGTTTCATTATTCGGGGCCCAGCAGGTAGACGGAGAAGCTACTCTCTCTAATTTTTCATTGACAAAACATCTCCAGAGGAGCGGGGACATGCCAGGGGCTGGGCTCGTCGTCAGGGAGCCCGCCGACTGCAGGCGGGCAGACCCCCGGAGAGGGGCATCAGCAGGGCCCACCAGAAACAGAAGCGGGACAAGGGGGCGGCGGGTCCCCGGGAATGGAGACTGCACTGCAGACAGCAGTTCAAGCAGACAGACCTTCCAAGGTCTCTAGCAGGTCACGGAACCCGCAGAGGGCTAGGTGCACCCTCGGGGCTGCTGGGGGCCACCTGGGAGGCGTCACAGGCCTCATCCTGGGGGCTGTGGAGTCTGCAGGAGCCCAGTCAGACCCTTGGCGCTGGTTGTGTTGCAGAACATCTCTCCCGGGGTCTGTGAGGCACGAGGCGGGGGAAGGGGACAGGGTGGGCGCGTGCCCGGAGGGCGAGCGGCGAGGCTGGCGGGAGGTGAGGCCTGGAGCCAGGAGGGCGGGGAGGGCGGCCGAGGACCTGCAGGGAATGAGTGGGTGGACTGGCGGTGGCTGGGGGAGGGGGAGGAGGACAGAAGGGTGGTGACCCCTGACTCCAAACGGCACGGGTGACAGAATGATGAGGTCAGTTTAGGCATGGAGCGCCGGGCAGCTGGGCGTTCAGACGGATGGGCTGGCGGGTCCGGGGAGCAGGAGAGGTGGGGGCTGGAAGGGGCCGGAGCAAACGAGGAGGGGAGAGTGGACGAGGGCAGACGGGGGCGGTGGAGTGGGCCCGGGGTAAAGACCTTGGTGGAGGAGGAGGGTCCAGGCTGAGAGCAACTCGGGAGAGGGCAGAGGGGCACCGAGAAAAAGCCCCCCCGGCCCAGAGAGGACACAGTTGCAGGGAGGGAGTGGGCAGCGGTGGCCAGTGTGGCCCAAGGGTCTGGCAGCCAGGAGGTCACTGGGGGCCTTGGCAGGGCGTGGAGGGGACAGAGACAGAGCCAGCGACGTTCTTTCAGGACAGGCAGTGCAGGGTGGGGTGCGGAGGGGAGGCAGGAAAGGGTGACCTTGGAGGGAGAAGGGCTCATCTTCCCAGCCCCACGGACGGACGGACGTGGGAAGGACGGAGGGCTGCTGACGCAGGCAAGGGACGGGACGTCTGCAGAAGCATGAGGCAGATGGGCTGAGCTCTGAGCCACGTCCGCAGAAATTCGCTGTGACTGCAAAAGCTGCATTAGTCAGTAAAACCCTCAGGGCGCATCACACTGCCACGGCCGCAGGCTCCGCCCTCTCCGAGGAGGAGTGGTCCTCCGAGGCTCCCATCCTTGCAGACCCTCTGGCACCTGCGTTTGCAAAAATGAGATGCCCCTCCTGCCGGGCTTTGTGTCCTTGTTCGGTTCCTGTGACGTGTGTATCCAGCGCACTTTAACACGACGCCCGTGACTTACTGGTCGACCCCTGTGTGTTGAAGCTGTGCAGTTTCTGCCTCCGGCTCCGAGGGCCGAACACTGGGCACGAGCGGTCTTCTCAGGACGACGCGGCTGGGTCCGAGGGCCAGCGTGTCCCTCACGTTCCTGCCACCCGGAGGTTCTGTGCTCTGTCCAGCCTGGAACGCCGGTCCACTCTCCCCGCAATGAGTATTAACAATAACACTCTTTGCCAATTTGTTAATGAAAAATGGTATCCTTTGCTCTTTTAATTTTCATTTAGCAATGACAAGGCTTCATTGAAATTACCCACAGATGGTTTGAGGTCATGGACAATTAAATGTAATTAATGCCTAATTGAACTTTTCATTGTTACACGGGGTCGTTTACTTCAATGGCCACGAGAGGGCGCGTCAGTCCCATCAAATCCCACGACCGGGTTCAGGTTTCTGTCGATTCCGGAAGAAAGATCAATTTCCACCAACACGGGCCTTTTCAAATTCTGGCAAGTTCTAGCAAAGAATTAAAGTCTCCTCCATTCGTGTCAGCTTTGTGGGTTTGATCTTTTGTATTCTCCAAAGAAGCACTACCACACGCGCAGCATCGGATGAGATTCCGGGGGTCAGGGTACAACGGCTCAGCGATGAAAATGTTTGTGTCTGGCTGATGAAACGACGCTTAGAAGCCTGGGACGTTCTTTTGGAAAGGCTCCTATTTTGCTAGGAACAAACTGGCTACTTTTTTCAGTGCATCAGTTTGCCAAACTGAAGAGGACCACCCATATG